TTCTTCTTCTTCTTCTTCTTCTTCTTCTTCTTCTTCTTCTTCTTCTTCTTCTTCTTCTTCTTCTTCTTCTTCTTCTTCTTCTTCTTCTTCTTCTCACTTTTAAACTGAACTGCCTTGTGTGTGCGTCGCAATCAAGTAAGCGTGAAGGGTTTGGAGTACCTAATGCAGCTCTAGACTGCATAGCCCACGCGGCTCTGGTGGATTTTGAAGAAAAACTTTTTCTAGAGGAAGTCTTTTTTATTAATAAAGCCTCTGTTTTTAGACAAATGGCAGTGCCGTCGTGGCGGAGGAAGACGGCCGGCGAGGCGCGGCTTCTAAAAATATAACGCCATAGTCGAGGCGGTCCTCGCGGCGCGCTGCTGCTGTGCCCCAGTGACAGGCGCCGCTCGCGGACCGGACGTGGACGTGGAGATTGCAAGTGCCCGTGTGTGTGTCGCCTCCCGAAATAAATAATGCGGGATATCGTTCCCGCTCCCGAAGGGAGCACGATGACAATGTGACGTTACCCCCGTTACGGTGACGCCCGTGTCACACACGCTCAAGGACGGCGGGCCCGTGACGTCACCCGCTGGCGCCCGGCCAGCCGGTAGTGTTATAGGACTACTGGGCCAGGCCGCCGAGCAGCAGCACTCGCTGTACTCGCAGCAGGTCCGGCGCCGTCTGGTGGTCTGGCCAACATCTGCACCAGCAGGGCCGGCCGTATCACTCGCATGGCAATAACCGTGGCTGACATTTTAGTTTATGGAATTTTCGGTTGAGGTGTGCGTGTGGGATTTTATTGTTATACGCTTCATGGATATTCATGCGATTTACGTTACTTGATGTTATTCAGATGGCGTATTGGTTTACTTGCCCAGCCGTATTTTTTCAGTGTCCACGTTTTATGACTTGCTGCGGCCAGCCGGACTTGCTCACCTTGGCCCATCTTTAAGTTCAAAAGTTCACGACCTTAGTATCGTCATTATATTCTTGACCATAACCGTCTTTCGCACACACATTTGTTACATTTTCCTCAAATTTATTGAATGAATTTATTTTGTTCGCCCAACCATATAGCCGGCATAAGTGAACGAGTTTTGCAAACCGTGCCGCACTCTAACACCGCGTGGTGCGAATTTCCCCATGGGCGTTTCCCCCCCATAGCCTCGCAGGCACCGTCGCAGTGCCGGGGGCCAGCGAGTCGCCCGTCGTCCCATCGCGCCCCGCCTGTGTCAACATGCCGCTCGCGGCGGCTGCTATTTCTGGAATTCCGTCAGCCATTAAGGGAAGCCCATAGGGGGCCCCCGAGGCTGCCTGTATGGACCCCCTCGGGGGACCATATACGCGCCCTAATTTATTTACCAAGGCTGCGGGTGGACGATACCAGAAGTACATTAATTTCGAGGCGCTTTGCGCCCCTCGCGAGGGGCGCACTGTTGATGTGTGCTCCTGCCATGTGTGTGGTGTTTACTGAATGGGGGACTTAACTGCATTCCACATACCCACCCATAGGCCGCGCGAAAGGGTGACTGCTCTGCTTTTATCGAGTCATTGTGGGTAAAGGAAAGAAAGGCAATTAGGAAGTTTCTGGTTTTCGATGGCAGTGGACTCGCGTTGGAGCGGGCTTAGCACGTGGATGGGCTCGCTTCCAAGAGCATTCCCTGTCTTTCTCGGGAAAGGGTTGAAAACCGGCGGGGTGGGAGACACAACACATTAACCCGTGGCTTGTTATTAGTAGAGGGAGGGGTTGCTGCTGCCAACGCCGCGGGGTACCCTGCCCAAGTGCAGAAACAAATGCAACAAAGCATGCTTGCAACTATAATAATTTCATGTATTTGCAATCTTAGAGAAGTAATTAGCCACAAAACGCTGGATCTTAATTTTAAATAATTTCATTTTCGCAGGCTTTGATTTTCCTCTAGCAGATGATACGTAGTGTCAGCAGCTTGTACTGTTGTAAATTTAAAAGTTTGCCAGCGTAAAGTTGTTTCTTTGCTGTTTTAAATTTGCAAACCGCCTTATTTATTTTTATTTTTTTATTTTTGCAGTGCTGCTGGGGCTGACCGCGTGCGCGTGTCGTTCTTCGAGTGCTCCAAGCCGCAGGTGGTGGAAGGGGGTGACGCCTTGACGCCCGAGGACCTGGATGCGCCCGACGGGATGGCGGCCGACTCCAACTCGCACGGATACGTGCGGCAAAACAGGTGACCTATCCGTTCCTTTCACACTCCCGGAAAACAAAGTTCGACACAAAGTTTGAACTTCGAATCACCGGGGTAAACAATACCACCACCAGACACCGAATTTGTGCACCAAGTCTATTTAAAAAATTCTCTTTTAAAACGAGAAACATAGTTGAAATTAATATTGTTCTTGAAAATTTGAGAGCAATTATCAATGTATAACCACACTTCGCAGTGTGCACTATGGGTATAGTGTAGTGATTGAGCGTTTTCGGAACTTTCGGAACTTATCTCCCATAGTTGCTAAAGGGTCGATCAATCAATTCATTCCCCCACGCCCCCGCACCCACCCGTCCGATCCGCCGGATATGCCCATGGGAGCGTCCCCTCGCTCCCGGACGCGCTGTGTCCGTACCGTTAAACCACACCCGGTACGGTGCAGCGGACTTAACGGGCAGTGCGTCCGGCGTCCGCTCATGTCTCGCGGACACAACGGCTCCGCCCTTGCTGCAGGGCCGTCCAGGGCCCATACCGACCCCCGGCCAGTTTTGTCAATAATCTACCCCAACTCAGAAGAAAATTTAAAACTAGGAAGTTACCGTCCTTTAATTATTAAATTACATTTAACTTTTTCGACATACTTGGGCCATACTCTGCGTTGACGATACACACGAATTAAGAGCGCTGTTTGAGTTGGCAACACTGTAATGGGTTGGGTTGTTGGGCAGGCGTGGGCGCGTGGGGTACGGTGGGTGTTGGAGCACCTGTCGTCTGTCTTTGGAAAGGGAAAAGAGAGAGGGGGGAGCATCACTTTCACTTGTGATGGGCTTAGCGAGGAGGATTTTGGGGGGTGTGCGGTCGTAGTGGTGAAGGGGGTGGTGAGGGGGTGCGAATAGAGGAGGGGGGGGGGGTTAACCGGTCCCCGCAACGCAACCCCGTCGCATACCAGCGGCCACAGACCTCCGACAGGGTCTGTCGGAGTGCACTGGAACTGCAACGCCGCGCTGATTATCGTGTGCGAGGCGACACACGCTAACAGGGGCCTCGAGGGCCTCCGGGCGGCCCCCGGCTGTGCAGCACTGAGTGCCCTCCATGTAGCCCTGGCGGCCCCGGCCGCCTCTCCAGCCGGGGCGCGGCGGGCGGCGTTTGGCACACTGGCACACCACCACCACCCCTCCGCGGGCCACACCCCGCCACGCCCCGCCCCGCCACGCCACGCCCTTGTAGCAACTCTTGGGCGCGGCTGCAGCCCGGGCAGGGGTGTGCGGCCGGGGCTGGGTGGGGATGGGATGGGGCCCCCCCAGAGCTGCCCGCCACCCGCCATCCACACCACGTACCACGTCGGTCTTTTGTTTACACTACTGCACTGCAAAGCCCCTTTTCTCTCTCCCCCCCTCCTCCTCTCCTACCCCTGCTGATGTAGTACCCCTGCACTCCTCTAGACTTCCCCCTTCAACCACAACAACCCTCAGCCCTAGGCGGAGCTCCCCGCAAGCCCTGCTATCCGATCTGTTCCCTTGGCTGGCTCCAAATTGGTCCAGCGTCGATATCGGACGTCTGCGTCGCAAGGCAATTGAAGCCAGCCGCTGTCCAGTCGCCGTCCGCAGTCGCTGTCCAGCCCGACCACCTACCTCTGTCGGCCCCCTTCGTGTCCCCCTTAATGCTTTATCCTTCCCAACGCAATCGGTCCGCAGATAAGTTTTCCGCGTGGAGTTCGGAATAGGGTTGTCTTCCCGCCACCTCCAGCTGCTTACTCTGCTTGGCCTTTTCCTGGAGGCGTTCCATATTCCGGGCTGGCCTTATCTGTGCCTCGCGAAGGCGCTCAAATGACGATTGTGGCGGCGGCGATGGGGGCGGCGGTAGCGGCGCGGGGGGCGAAGCGGACAGCGCGTCGCCTAGCTGGCCGCACCCCTGCCCGCCCCCGCGGCCCGCCTC